CAGCCTGGACTTCCGGCAGTTCTCTGCTGATGTGCTGTTCTAATCGTTTTTGGATGATCTTCAGCAGAATCTTGCTTGCATGTGAAATCAATGACACAAAGGGAAGGAATTATAAGAGAGATAAACAGAAAATTCAAAAGTAAGCTTGAGAAGACAAAGAATAGTATTATAACAAAATGGTGAAAACTGGAGTTAGAAAAGCAACAGAATAACACATTTGGCATTTCTCAAGGTGTAAGAATTGAAAAACAAATTCAAGCCTTGAGCTGAATCCACTGAAGGATTCTGTGGGCAAAATCTTGAATGATACAGGAAGTGTTAAAAGGAGTTGGGGTTGGAAGGAATATAAAGAATTATTGTACAAAAAATATTCACGGACACCAAACCATTTCAGAAAGTAGTAGCATATAATCAAGAACTAATAATACTGAAGAGAGAAGTCCAATGTGTACTAAAGGGATTGGCAAAAAAAATAAGACCCCAAGGATTGATGGAATAGCGCTGAAGTGTACCAACAAGCGGATGTAACCCTGGACATGCTCACTAGCCCATGTGAAGCACAACTGAAGGTGGAGCAGGGTCAGGCAAAGATTTGTTCTATTGTATAGCCAACTCCATGGCTCCTAACCAATGAGTCAACCTCTGCTAAGTGCTGAGGACTCCAAAACCCAAGAGTTCCCTGACCTCTAGTTGGTTCAGGGTTTTGAAGCTGTAAGTCATTATGGAAGGAGACTGTCCCTTTTTCTTCCCTTTGAAACCACCAACCTTTCTATTAGTTACCACCAAACACATAATGCACCAGGGTCCTTAAACAGAACAAGCAAGCATTATCTCTGGCCTCAAGGAGTTTGCATTCTTTTTTTTTTTTTTTAAACCAATACACGCCAAGCAGATGGTTGTTTATTTTATCGTGTGGTGCCACTGAGTCAAGGAGTTTGCATTCTAAAGGGAGAGACAGCAACTTAAAAGAGAAATATATTTGCACAAGAGAAATGGGTATGGTTGTGTTGTTGTTGTTGTTGTTATTGGTACCATTAAGTCAGAAGCAACCCATAGCTGATCATCTGGTGAGTTTTCAGCGGCACAAAATTTCATGGGATGAGATTGCCCATCCTTCTCCCATGGACATATGGTTATTGTTGTTTTCTGCCATTGAGTTGTCTGCCATTCATAGTGACTCTATACACAATAGCTCTGACCTCTGCCCATCCTGAGCCAGACTCACTGACTTCGACACACCTAATCCTACTGCCCCAGTTATCATATCAGTCCATCTTATCTGGAGTCTTCCTCTCCTGCACTGTCCCTCCATGATTCCAAGATGAAGCCCTTCTCCAAGGACTGGTCCTTCCTGGCTACATCCCCAAAGTATGTGAGATGGGGCTCCAAAATCTTTGCCTCCACAGACAAACTTGGTTTCACCCTCTCCAGGACAGATCTATTTGTTCTCCTGGTGATCCATGATATGTTCAATACTCTTCTCCAGCACCACAAGTCAAAGACATCAGTCTCCTATCATCCTTAGTCACTGTCCAACTGTCTTGCCAAGACCATGACCTGAATTAGGCACACCTTAGTGCATATGGTAAGAAGTACTATACAAATAAAGGTGTCTGTAATATTTTTTTGAAGACTTGGCCTAGTGGTAAGGAACTGTGCTACCACCCTGAAGGCATACAGTTAAAATGCTCCAGCTGCTCTGCAGGAGAAAGATGATCAATCTCCTCCTCTGTAATTCTCAGCCTCTGAAGGTGGACCGTCTCCTCCTGTGCAAGTAAACTGCCTCTGAAAACCCACTGGAGGGACAGCCATGGGTTGGTTCCAACTCCATGATACACAGCAACTAGTGACTTAATGGTAAGGAGTTAGGCTGCCAATGCAAAGCACAGAGTTCAAATCCAGCAGCTGCTCTGTGGGACAAAAATGAGCAATCTCTTTCTGTGCGATTTATAGTCTCAGAAACCCTGCTGGAGGGTCAGCTATAAATGACGAGTCAATCCTGGCTGAATGACACAAAGCAAGAACAGAATATTTTCTTTAAAAAACAGCTATTAATAGTAGTATTAGTTTCTTTTATACTGGAAAGGTCTGACATAGCATTTGATTTTGATTCTTTGCTATTACAATGGTGACAAATCAAAGAAAGATCTCCTAGGAAACATGATAATCTCAAAATAGAAATTAATTATTTTAAAAGATGTTTAGAAAGCTCATTCTCTGCAAAGTATGTCACTTACACTTTCCCTGGTGATTCATGTATGGAAGTTTGTTGGAAAATTCTATATATTAAGATTACTGTCTCTGGGAATCTTTAAAATTCAATGATGGCTTGGTATTTTTTTATTGTATTCCTTTTTCATTTTTAAGCAACTCAATACTTTCTTGTACAAAGTTGACTTATAATTTCTCCTTTCCCTTTTAAAACTTTTCAGTATTTATTATTATTATTATTTTTTTTAATTCATTCATTGTCGCACATTTTCAACTTTTCTTCCCTCTCCCTCCCTATTCCCTCCCCTAGTCCACTTTGCAATAGACCCCTTGTTTCAGATTTTTGTCATACATTTAATACCTAATCATTTTTCCCCTCAAAAATATCTAATAAATTTTATGTGCCATTGACAGGTAGTAGAAGGCGGGATGTCATTAAGTGCATAGTCAAGATTCCTCAGCTAGATCTGCTAATAACGGCCTCTCAGAAAGGACTGATTACCATCTTTAATAGCCAGGTAATGTGAGCCTTGGTAAGCTCTTCTCTTCCCTCCTTGCTTCCTTCTCCCCGTCCTTCTATTCCCCATTTCCCTCCATCTCATGTTTTTCCTTCTTGCCCCCTCCTCCCTCTTTTCCTTCCTTTCACTATTCCTTCTTTCTTTCCTTCCTTTTCTGTGTTTGGGCTGTGCTTAGTGCATTTGCATCAGATGCAACATAAACCAGATAAAAGTGTCATTAAAAAAAGAAAAAGAAGAAAAAAAAACCAAAACGCACACTCCAAACCCAAATGTCACTAAAAATGAGCAGATTGCTGAGCTTTTCAATAAGTTTTGAGAAGTTAGAATTGCATTTGGCATTATTCCTCGGGATAAGATGTTGAACCATGTAGCATCAATCCAACTACACTATGGTACAGGGTGCAGCCAGTCCTGGATTACAAACAAGTTCCATTCCTAAATCTATCTTTAAATTGGATTTGTATGCAATTCAAGTGGTTAAGTAGGATGTATCTAAAGTTAGTAAAATATTTGTCTTATTATATAATATCTTTCTCTTCCTAATGCTTTCTATGTCATAATGTTTTATGCCCATGAAAAAGCAGCATGCATTTGTTATTGTTGTTGTTATGTGCCATCAAGTCATGTCATCTGCAACCCTTAGCGACTGTATTATAGCAACTCTGAACCCTTCCCTGTCCTGAGTCAGTCTCACTAATTCCGACACACCAACCCCCATTGCCCAAGTTATTGTATCAATCCATCTCATTGGGGATCTTCCTCTCCTGCATTGTCCCTCCACCCTTCTGAGCATGATGTCCTTCTCCAAGGACCAATCAGTCTCAAAGTATGTGCCCAAAGTATGTGGACAGAGCTTCCAAATCCTAGCCTCCAAGGAGAAACTTGGTTTCACCCTCTCCAAGACAAGCCTATTTGTTTTCTTGGCAGTTCACGGCATGTTCAGGCACCACATTTCAAAACTATCAATTCTTTTTCTGTCATCCTTAGTCATTATCCAGCTCTCTGATGTATAGCAAGTAATTGCAAAGACCATGGACTGGATTAGGCACACCTTAGTCTCTAGACTGACATTACTGCTTTTCAGTACCCTAGAGAGGTTCCTAACAACAGATTTGTTATTATAAATCATTATATGTTTTTAATATATGCAAATCTTTAAAATGTCAAGGTTTATGGAGGTTGATTTGTAACTACAGGCTTACTTAAGTTGAATGTTTATAAACTGAGGAATGCCTGTACTTTTTCAAGTAAATTCAGAAAGACACACAAGCAAAATGTTTGTGTAATTCTATCAAATAATGAAGGATCTTAATTTTACTGGGTATGGTTTTAAAGAGGGAACTTTTTGAGCCGATCAAATATTTTCATATCTCTTTTAGACAAAATAAAGTTTTCTGTGAAATCATAATAGGACCAAGACTGTCTTTTTCAGAAGCCTGTACTCATTGCATCTGAGTTGTAACTGACTCGTAGGTGATCTTGCATTTGGTTTTTGGTTTTTTTTTTTATTTGAGTCACACATTTATTCTTTTTAAAACCAAGGTTCACAGCATCCATATAACTTGCTCAAGATTATATGACTAATAAGTTACAGATTTGGTATTCACATTTAGGCTATTTTGAAAATCCATGCGGTTTTTTTCTATATAATAACATATAAGGAACTTTGAAGGCTAGGAATCTTCCAAATGTGTAAAGTCCAGCAAATGCTATATATGTATCGAATCTGAATATCCAGTATTAATTGAGTACTTACTTACCATGAGACAGGTGTAGTCCATTGAGAGCTGCACTGCTAACACAAAAACTGTATCTTTGCTGGTTCAAATCCACCAGCAACTCCATAAGCCATCTCCTCCCCCTGAAATTCACCACATTTGGTTCTACTTGAAGGCAATAAATTGAGTTCAGTTCTGACTTGAAGGCAATAAATTGAGTGAGCACCATGAGACAGGCAAAATTCTGTATGTAATAGATATGTTTACAGATTTCAACTTTGAAACCACTCCTCCATGGGGAAGATATTATACCATTTTTTAAAAATTTTTTAAATTTAGGTTGTTTATTTTTCATTTCAATGAATATCTACAGAGATTTTGGGATTCCATTCATTCATTGTTGCACCCTTCTCCCCGCACAAACCCCTCTCTCCCCATTTGCTCCTCTCCTAGAAAAGCAAAAGAAAAACTCCCTCATTGGTACACAATGCCCCCCGCACCTCCCCAAACCACACCCCTACCCCCAAATATAATCCACTCTGCAACCCTCATTGTGTATTCCTACGATAAACATAATGCCCTAAATATATAATACTTTTAAACTATTCTCTCCCCCATAGACTTCAATGCGCATTTGGTTTTTGAGGCTGTAAATTTCATGCTCATCTTATCTTGGAGCTGCTGGTGGATTTGAACCACCAGAAAGTCATGTTCTTTAGGTTAACAGTGAAACTCCTTATGCACTACTCCACCAAAGCTCCCTCTCAAAGGATTGTAAGTGACAGTTAAATAATAGATAAAAGATGTGAAAGCACATTATGAATAGCAGATACCAGTATGAATGTAAAGGGAGCTCTGGTGGTCTAGTGGTAGGGAGTTGTGCTGTCAGCCTTAAGGCACAAGGTTCAAATCCACCAGCTTCTCTGACAAAGAAAGATGAGCAATTCTCCAAATGGGAGAAGGATAGACAATCTCCTCCCTTGGGATTTACTGCCTCTGAAAATCTGCTGGAGGTCTAGCAATGAATCTATTCTGACTTAATTACAGTACCATTCTTAATGTTAATTCTCTCTAAACTTAAAAGTTGAGATTCTAATGGACAACATGACTTTACTTAGAAAATAAAAGATGAATGTTTGATGTTAAATAGTTTTTAAACATTTCAATTTTTAGTCCGTTACCAACTGGTGTTATGCTTCATACAAAAATAATTTGAAATATTCATCACATGATAAAAAATATCAATGATAATTTTCAGTCCACTGGGGATCTATCTTTGATTCAGTGAGTCTTCAGTTGGTCAGAAGTCACAGGGAGCCAGGCTCTGCGAGGGGAGCACTCCAGCCATGCCCAGGACATGGCACAGGGAGAGATGTAGAAAGAGGGCAAGGAGCCTGTACTACCAGCTGAACCAGCTTGGACAGTGTCCAAGGCAGTAAATCTTTACTGCAGCAGACCACCTCACCTTCTGAATAGCCAACCTTTTGATTAACAGCTGAATGTTTAACCAACCACCAATAGCTATTTTGTAGCTTTCATTGTGTGCCAGAGTCAGAACCAACCTGTAGATGACCTTCCAGTGTGTTTCCAGTGGCAATAAATTGCACAGGAGAAGAATGTATAGTTTGCAGTACAATTTCTTGCTTCTAAGCCACCAGAGCTCCCTAAAGAGATGGTTGCTGTTGTTATGTACCAAAGCATCAGAATTGACTCACAGCTGACCCTTCTGTGGATTTTAAGAGGTAGTAAATTTCATGGGAAGATATTTCCCATCTTTCTGCCATGCAGCAGCTGGTCGATTCTAATCAGGTACCTTTGGGGTTGCAACGCAGCTTCTTACTACTAGAACACCAGAGCTCCATGTATTTACTTCAATTAAATAGAAAAATTTTCAATCTCTTTTCCTCCTGCTGCATTATTTCGCTGTTCATTTTTGTTAGATAGATAGATAACCCAATGAAAAAAACAGAACAAAGATGGCATCTACAGGATAAAGTGAGAAGAAAAACAATCACCTTCATAATGAAATGTTGTTGTTTTTAAGTGCCATTGAGTAGAGTACGACTCATAGCAACCCTATGAACAGAAGATCTGAACCTAGTCCTGCCCTGCGCCATCCTCACACACAAGAGACCATTGCAGCAGTCACCTTTTCAATTCACCTGGTTGAAAGTCTTCCTCTCCTTTGCCGACCCTCCACCTTTCCCAACATCATGTTCCTCTCTAAGGAATAGCACCTCCTAACAATATTTCCAAAGTACGTGAGGCAAAGCCTCATCATTCTTGCCTCCAAAGAGCGCTCCAGCTGTACCCTCTCTCTCTTTTTTCATAATGAAATCGTTCAGGATTATGCTAGTATAATTATAAACAGTTCAGGGTTATTATATTAGTGTAATAAGTGTCATCTTTCCAGAGATACTTTGCACACGTACACTCCTCACTCACACTTGTTTATCAGTGGGTTCAAAAGTACCCAGACAAACGTGTCTGTTTCTGCTTTTGGACAATGTTAAGGGATTATGTGATAAATAATGTAATTGGAAAGAAAATACTAAAGAACAGGTTATCTTGATATTATAAAGGAATAAAACCAACCGAATATTGTATGTCTTAGAAATTTAATGACACATTCTAAAAGTAAAATAATTTGTAAGATTAGGTCATAAGACTAATTTATTGAAAAGTAGCCACTGATAACACAAATAATGTGTGAATCAACAATTTAAGATTTTCATGGTGCCCTTTGGCATTCTGGATGGCATAAACAGTAAATATTGTTAATAAGAAAAGCTATGTCAAAAGTTGTTGTTGTTAAGTGCTGTCAAGTCATGTACAACTCATAGCGACCCTGTGAACAAAAGACCTGAACCTTCTTTTATAACTATCATTGTCTCTCTACGTTCATAGTTTCCAAAGGCATGTGGTTTAGGAAGTGGAGGCCACATGTTTGTTTCCAAACCTGAATCAATCTAGGAGCTCCACCAAACACTGTCCATGACAAGTAACCAATATGGTGTTTGACACACCAGTGGCACAGCGTTCAGCATCACAGCAACTCTAGGTTACTTTAATACAGCTGATAGATCAATGCTGTATAACTTAGAAGAACGTTAGTACCAAACACGATTAGCACCAGGACCAAAAGCAAAGGCCCTCCACCAGAACCTGTTGACTCTAAACAAGAGGTTTCCAATCCACAGCTCATTGTTAGTTAAATCTGGCAAATCCAAACAGCTGACACCAGATTGTGAACAACAACAAGAACAAAACTCAAAAAACCCA